TTTGCTCAATTTGACAATTTCTAGCTCTGGGCAGATTCAGTGAGAACAGCACCATCTACTGGCCTGGCATATGTACTACATTGTCTCCAGCGCTTTCGAACGGCAATGGCCGTGGCTGTCTCCTCCTGATTGGTGGAGTTGGCCCAATAGCCGTAGCGCCACTGTCCTGACGTCATGACAGTGTTCAAATCTGGATCAGTTTTTATCAGATCCGTTGCAGCCCCTTTTTTTTAGAGATTTGGGTATGGAGGAAAATAGAGAGGGTTGTGTTTTCTGACACTTGGTGAGTTCCCTGGAACACCGGGGACACATATTCATGTATAAAAGACGTACAAAAGTGCATTTTGCATGATAGGTCCCCTTTAAAATGACATATTTATTCAAACACACAGTATACAGATAAGTAAAGACGTAAAGAGATCACACACTGCTCTCTCGCTCTCTCACATACACAACCGATTATATGAACAGACTCACACACACAGTGTCATGTGATCTGACAGCAGCTGTTATGTTAATGTAATTACTCCCTCTAGTGTTCAGCTTCTCATTTTGCAGTTGTGTATAACACCTGCACTTGTCTGTTTCCAATTAACTATCTGTAGTTTGCATCAATTATAATGAACTGGTATTAGTGGTCCATTTACTGGCCTGTCAATAACGACATGAGTAGACGCCCAGTGACAGTGCCCATGTCTTGCTGTTTGTTTTCAGTGACGTATCATGAGGTCAACATGGCCCTGAGCTTTTTCATTCATTAGTGGACTGGTTTAGAGCGGGACAGGATTGCTGACGTGGCTTCATCCCACCCATCATTCACACAAAAATAGAAACTCAAATTGGTTGAACTGTTTGCAAAACCTTTGAACTACAGTATAGTGATGAATCATTTAGAGAAAGAGTGACACATTGATGCGTTTAGGTGTTTATTACTTGATATTATAGGGTGGTCCTAAGATATCGCAACAATAACTGTGATATATATAAACAAAAAAGTAATATTAATATAATTGTAATAATACACATACAATATTGTTGCTTTGCTTTGTCTGATTTTCCCAACCACCCCACGTACACACACATTTAGACACAAAAAGACAATAACTCACAATAAACAATCAAGCTATTACATTTGACTGAATGCATTATTATTTTTTTCAAATTTTCAAAGATATTGCAATCAATTTTCTATTGTTAACTCTTTTGGACACAATATTCATGTGAAAATCTGATATTGTGACATTTGATATGGCTAAATATTTTTGTTTGATGGTTGCAATTGCTATCATTGCTATATACAGTATAGTATTTTCATCATAACACAATAAATGTCCTGATTAATCTATTTCATTTGACTATATATGACTCAAACTACAAATGTAAGTCAAGTCTTAAGGGATGCACAGCACTTTTCACAAGCCAAATACACTAGTTGCCAGCCAGCTCATTTCCCTAACACCACGCAAGCACAATGCCTGCTGCTCTGGCAGATATGAGATGTGATTTCCTTGATGCGCAAAATAGACTAGAGTGACTTAAGAGGTGTTGGGTAGTTGGCTTGGCCGCGGTGATGGATGTTCCTTCAACTCCGAATCAGTCCTGAAGCCAAGATTGAGGAGCTCATCTCCAGCTATGATGCACTTAGGGACTAAATCAATTTATTTGCCACCTTCGTTTCCCAGACTAACACACTCCCATGTATCTATTTAAAGAAGCAATTCAAGTAAAAGAAAAAGACTTGCAAGTGCCAAGAACATCCTATTCTGGTCTCTCAGAACCAACAGGCTGATTGATACCTTCCTCTCTCGGTTTGATTTGCACATGTCAGAGTGATGTAGGGTTACGGGCAACACCTACAACGTCATATCACATCACCGTATTTCTCTCAGACCCTCAATGGTCCATATGAAAAGGCGGCCTATTGACGAAACCCACGATGACGAAGAATTGATTTAGTACGCAAGGGGCTGACTGGCCACTCCTCCTGGCCCCCGAGGATAAATATATTGACGGGATGGACCCAAGGCAGTAGATTCCTTGTATTGCTTAAAGAAGTACTCAGAGTGCAGCAATAGTTTGGGACCTTACAATCAGTACTATGGATAGAGTTACAGTTGTCAACTACTGCTTAGGACTCCTGGGCTTGGTACTACTGCAGGGAGTGCTAAACGTGGAGGGACGGAGCATTTATAACCCGGGTAAGTGTACAATAATGGTATTGTTTTAGGTCTCTGCTGCATATATTTGAAATACTAGAGGATGCTGCATGCACACCTTAAATTCATGCCATTGGTGGTGTAATGGTTTAGCTTTTCCAATGTGCAACAGGTTAGGAGATGATGCCTGGCTATGATATGGGATGGATGTGACATTTCCTGTCTATATTCTTGTCATATTAAGGTTGCTTAAAGTTGTATTTTGCTCTTTGTATGCGCAGGAAACCATGTTTTTAATCCAAAGGAAGACACGGATCCACAGAGCAAGATCCTTGCACTGTTACTACACAAGAGCTTAATTCCTGTTGAGAAAGATGACCCTTTAGGTGAGAGATGAAATTAATTGGTGAAACTAATACAAATGCATTCCTTGCTTTGATAATGACGACTGGTTTTCCTATTTGCAGGCTTTGAGCTGACCAACAAATTAGCTGAATTAGAGGAGGTAAGAACATTTACAGATTCTTCCTTGAAGTAACTTTTGGAAAAATATGGAAAGAAATCAGGATTTAAACCGTATAAACACCTTGAGTTTTTTGTAACTGTATGTTATCTATATAAAAAAACAAGTGAACTCAGAGCAGATATGAGACTACCTGTTAAACTACTTCCTTGCAAGTGATTGGTGTATTGATACTGCGGTGACGTCTACCTGCCGTGGTGCGTTTAATCACTCTGATCTCTGCTCGTAGCTGCGGGCGCTGAGGGAGGATCTGGAGCTGGAGAGGGAGATCACAGCCAATTTGGCAGAAGGAAAATCCTCTAAGAAGAGGGGTGAACGTGAGTTACATTTAGTACTTCTAGGTTAAAACGTAACATCCACCCCATTACTATTTGAAGTTAATTCTAACCATTGTAGTTTTAATATTTAGCATGTAAAATGAATTTATCTTCTTTCGTCAGCAGCTTGCTTCTGGAAGTACTGCGTCTGACACGGATGCAAGGGGAGGAGGATCACTGTGAAATCTTGCTGCAAAGCCCAACATAGCCTTAAGACTCAAATCACCAGTAAAATAATCACACTGTATTTATTCTAGCAATATAGATTTGTACCATAATCAAGTCATCAATAAACATTTTCACCGCACCGAGGTGCTCTCATGAGAGATCTAAGGACTGAGGCTGTTCATATTTAACCTGTAAATAATCAGCTACTCACTGGAAATACTTGAGGGTCAGATATGACAAAATGTACTTGACTGCAAAGACATAGTATTATTTTCGTAGGGATTTGATTTGCTTACTGCTCGTGTTTATGTCGGTCTCTTGTGGCAGAATTTGGCACAACATTTTTTGTACTGCTGCCAACAAACATCACATCTGTCACTGCTTTTAGAAATGCACTGCTGTTTATTTTACAAAATAAATACAATTATAATGTGAATCTGTGAATCTGTTATTTGAAAGTCTTAAGAGAAAATGATTGGAGATGAGTGGGTTGGAGAATGGAATTGTTCAGGTTTGAGAATTGTTTGCATTACCTTTCCAACAAAAGACGAAAAATACAACTGAACCACTAAGAAAACATTTTAACAATTGTATCTAGTATTAATCTTTATTTACTTCAGATATCAAAAATGTTAAACAGTGGATATAAATGCAGTGAAGGAATGTGGCACATGTTGCACATCTGTGGGGAGGGGCAGATTACTGCACAGTAATTAAACGGGGTCTTTTGTTGGGAGGTGTTACAAAGCTGAGTCACAGGCTTAGTCTCGACAATAGGAGAGCTGCTGTGAAAATAACTGAATCGCACCGAAACAATGAAGAGAGGAGACTTCCGGGAAACCAGACTGAATATGACGCTCAGCTGCATTTACAGCTAAATTAAAGAAAGTGTTGACTTTGCTCTGAGCCAGTGAGTCAATGCAGTAATGTTTCCCAATATCTACGGTATAGGGATTATAACACAAAAACAGTTTGATTCCTGAGCACTTCAAAAGTACATTTCTATTGACAGGAAAGACATGAAGAACATCATCTCAGTGAGAGAACAATGATTCCCAAAATCAAACAGAATACCTTCTATCTGTCTCTAAACACACACACGCTAAGAGGTGACACATTTAAAAAGTGCTTCTATAGCTGTGAAATCTACACAAATCTGAAACTAAGTGAAAGTGTTCATACAGCTGCCCCGTCACACTACATGCATCACATGACACATAACACCATGACTGATCCGATACAGGGAAGGGTGTTATCAGTTTCAGTTCCACCATACAGTAAACTGAAGTGCTGGCACAGTGGGATCAGGCCATCCTGTTGAGATAAGTCTACAGGAAATGAGCCAGCATCCTCTATGTCACTCATAAGTTAGCAGTAAATAATAATACGTGCCAAAAGTTTAACATTTCCAGGCAGCCCAAGATGAAAAATAAAAACTCCTGCAAAAAGTTAGCACACAAGGTTAAGGAAAGTCAAACTGTCCAAAGTCAAAACAAAACTCACCCTCGTCAAGCAGCAGTACGAAACTGGCTTTTTGCAAATGCTGTCAGTAAAACAAAATAAAAAAACTGAATAAATACAAAAAGGTTACAATGGGTCCAAAATGTTTGAAGAATTCTCAACGCTGAGTTGTCAAGTAAAACATGGGCACAATGATAGAAGCCTAATGAAATGGGTCATGGCCTATACAGCAAATATTGTTATTATTTTCCATGTCTATGGCACAGGGTTCATTTGAGGTTCGGGCAGTATAAAGGATGTGTGCTGAGATGGGTGACTTTTGGGCGGTTATTTTGGTGGGTCGACCTTGATCTTGACAGACAGGCTGCTCAGCTCTGTAAGACGGCCCTGCAGAGAGGAGCAGCACACATCACAGCAACATCATCATACTGTCAACAGGCAATAATGGATTCTCTCTTCAGAGGTTGGTGGAATATTTGACCTGGCTTTTGACTGTCCTTTAAGAGAAATACATATACTTATAAATGTTTTTCCTCAATATTTTTATATTTATTTGTCAGGGATTGAATTTTTTGCAATAAACTTGATCGAATTGTATGTTGGCCTTTTGTAAAAACAGTGAAAAATCATTAGGTAATGACACATATTTAATTTCAGATTGAATCTCATGCAGCAAATGTGTCTTTATTTCAACGTTGCAGGCACCCTGTGGACCATACTCATCCTCTTCACACTGCCACACCTCGCCTGCAACATGCTGTGCCCCGGCAGCTGCCTGTGTAACTTTAAAGGTGCCGTCAAGTGTGTTGGCGACGCCATCACAGATATACCACAGAACCTGTCCGTCCACACGTACGAGCTGCAGCTTAATGGCACCGGCATGAACATCATCAATGAGCAGAGCTTGGCTGACCAGGACCTGCTGTTGCGTTTCAGTCTGACATACAGCCACTTACATGCTATCCATCCCAATGCCTTCCACGTTGCTCCACAGCTCAAGACTGTCAAGCTGTCGTCCAACGATCTCTCTACCATCTCTGCTCGGGTCTTCAGTCCGTTGGCGACACTGGAGCAACTGTTTTTAGATGGGAACCAGTTGGAGACCATAGCTCCGGATATGTTTGAAGGACTGGTTACTTTGCTGCAACTGGACCTGAGCCGGAACAAACTGACCAGTCCTGCTTCAGATGTTTTCGATGGACTGACCAAACTCACCTTCCTGAACCTTGGCAGGAACTCCATAAATAAGCTTCCACCAACCATCTTCCACTCCTTGACTAATCTTCTCCAGCTCATGATCTATAACAACGAGTTAGAGGAGCTAGAAGCTGGGATTTTTGATAAACTTGTCAACCTTGTGGAGCTAAAGATCCACCATAACCAGATTACCATCCTTCCCCCTCAGGTATTTTGGTCACTGAAGAACCTTAAGACCCTCACCCTCTCCTCCAACCAACTTCAGGCTATCCCAGAAAAGACCTTCTACAACATGCCAAAGCTGACCAAGCTCACCATTTACAACAACCCGCTATTATCTTTACCAGACCAGCTAATGGGTCACATGCCTGATATGACAGACTTGTATCTGTTTGGTACTAATCTCACCACTGTTCCTGGAAATGTGTTCGCAAACATGTCAGGACTTTTGAGGCTTAACTTCCATTTAAACGACAAGCTGAGGGAGTTGCCTTCGGACCTCTTCTGCTGCCTTCCCAAGCTCGAGAAGCTGTCATTGAAATTCAACGACCTCCTTTATCTACATCCCCAGCTGTTCTCCGGACTAACCACACTTGGCATACTGCTTCTCAATGACAATACGCTGAAGAGCCTACCAGATAACATCTTTCAGGGCCTTGGAGGGGTTTTGACAGTTGATTTGAAGAATAACCATCTCGAGACTCTTTCAGGAGATACTTTCTTGTCAAATTCAGTTTTGAAGGCTCTTAATCTGGGTGGCAACCCCTGGGACTGTACTTGTAGTATTAGAGGTATTGCAAAATGGATAAGAAAACATGAGCATGTTGTTCTTGACGGACAGGATGTGATATGTCATAGTCCTGTGTACCAACTGCTCCGTACCATTGGCTCTCTGCAGGATGAGGAATTCAACTTTTGCGATGCTAAGACACTCAAGTCAAGTTATTTGTTCACCACACAAACACCAGTTGTTGCTTCAACCACCACAATGCCCACCACAATGCCGACCACAATGCCCACCACAATGCCCACCACAATGCCTACCACAATGCCTACCACAATGCCCACCACAATGCCCACCACAATGCCTACCACAATGCCTACCACAATGCCTACCACAATGCCCACCACAATGCCCACCACAATGCCCACCACAATGCCCACCACAATGCCCACCACAATGCCCACCACAACATCGGGGACCACTGAAGGCGCTACCCAACAAGTCACCATCCTTACAACCACTCCAACTACAAAACCATCTGCCCCACCCTCCACCATCTTATCCACAATTCTCACCACCAACGAGCCTAACGAGGAGTTTCCTCCCAAGACTGAGAAGCCCTCGTCTCATTACAAGTCGGCTAATTTCTATGACACACTGGTGATTGAAGAGGGGCCGGAGTTTGTTCACCACAACCTTCACAAGGGCTGGGTGTACGTGTGGTTTCTGCCCTCGGATGCGGCCTTGACCGGGCTACTCATGTTCTGCTATATCCTTCTTGTGGCTGCAGGCTTGTTCCTCATTTTTGCTGCCGTGTTTTGCATGTATCGCCTCAACAACAGCATGGATAAGCTCAAGGCTGAGTGTGCACATCCCCCGGAGTAACAACACAACCGAGATAATATGTCCTTTTTCAGAGGACGCAGTCTATGAAAAACCCTCTTGGGGATAGGTTTTGTTGATACTGTGTTAAGTTGAAAAGCTCATGTGTAACCTTAATATAGTCTGACTTAATGTGACAAATTATAAGATGAAGGGATTTTTACATATCGAAGAATTAGACTTGGATGATACCGTTTTTTTTATTTCAATTCAGTATGTAAGCTAATATAAGGGATGTTAACTTATAAATGTTACAGTACCACTCGTTTTTTTTAATAATTTTATACAATTATTTAGATCTGTAAAGATTGGTCAAGCAATTCATCAGGCAAAAAAAAAAATAAGCAATTTATAATATAAAAGCAATTATTTAAACAATTAAAGAGTAGGTTTTAGTTATTTCTCTATGAGCTTGTCCAAACGTGTTTGGTGTTTGATAGTTTTTTTATATATACAATTCAGTATGTAAGCTAATGTAAGGGATGTTAAAGGTGGGTAGGTAAGAATGGAGAAACCAGCTCGAGTGCGCTAGAATTTGAAACTTCGCAGCCGAATTTGTTTTGCCTCTTCCTTCAGACTTCCTTACAGAGTCCCTCCTCCAACACACAAAGGCTGACAGGCAGATAGGCCATCCAGTTATTTTAGCCGGGCCGGCTAAAATGATTGGTCGTGCTTTTTACAGCGCTACGGCTTCCACAGCCATGTATTTATTGTCAAAGCATTTAATGTATTCATTGCTATCGGGATGTTAAGAGCATTCCATGGAATATAACAAAAAGTGTTTCTGAAGTGAATTACCTACCCCACCTTTAACTTATAAATGTTACCACTTGTTTTTTTATTAATTGTATACAATTATTTAGACCTGTAAAGATTGGTCAAGCAATTAATCAGTCAATACAAAAAAAAAGCAATTTATAATAATAATAAACGTGTTTGGTGTTTCTTTTTGGTGTCTTAAATTACAGTAAATCAAATACAGTAGCTATGGCTTTTGTAATGTTGATCTAACAAATCAAGCTATTAATAAACATAACTTTTGAAGGTTGCCACAAGCATTTTCTTTACCATATATCTTGTTTTATAGACCAAAGAAAAACAGTCAACTAATCAGGAAAATATGGAGCAAATGAATCATTAGAAATAAAATGAGTGGAACTAAATGAAAGTCAAGCCTTTTCTTTGCAATTCATGTGTATTCATTTTCCATGCTAAGGTCTGTAATAAATACTAACATTAAAAAATATGTGTTAAGTCTTACATTTTGTCAACAAGTTATTTGTTTCCCTCTAGGGGTGAAAGCATCAAACTGCATGGAGAGATATCACAACATTGTTAATATAACTTTTAAGTAATCAATTTGATTAAATAGTCATATTTTCCAATGTCTTTCTTTGAAACCCGGTCCATTTTCTGGCTGTAATATGAGTTAGCTGAACATCTGGGCCAATAAATCATATCTACATGCTGTTGTGTGGTATTGTTTCATAAACTTGTGCCAGGGCACGAGTCGTATTGGAGAGAGCTGCTTCTGTAAACATCTCTCTTATCTGAGTTTCTCATCCTTAGTTGGGAATAAGGGAGTAATTGTGCATTCCCCAAATGAATCAAGTCTTGGGGACTGGGAAGCATTACAGAAAACAGGAAGGTCTGATTTAGTCCTGTTTCTCCACAGACTCAGCGAGCAAAAATATCCGCTAAGATGACTTTCCCTGTAATTTCACAAGTCTCCATGATGAAACAAAACCACAACAATGTGCACAGTGTTCATTCCCTTTTTTAGACCAGTCCAAGATCACTCATAACACGATGTACTCATAGAAGTTAGGAAAAATATTGAAAAAAAACTTTTCATAGTTTTCAAGTTTTCATACAAATGTTTTTAAAGATAATAGGACCTTTTTAAATCTCACTTTGTAGGCTGACGAAGAAAATGTTTGACTGTGGTACAAAATTGCTTTGAAAACCCGCACAAAATGACAGCGGATGCCACAAATTCCACAAGGAGTGATTGGACTTTAAAACAAACGGCAAACAAAAGAGGATGAATAACTGAACAGCACCCAAGTTCATCTCTATGGCAACGGGTGATTAGGCCTTCCAGTACGCTGAGCTCACACAACAGTGGGCACACACACACACTTCCATATACACACACAGTGAGAGAGAGAGTGAGCATGGGGAGAGGAAATCATACTGGGTCAAAGGGAATATTTTAACACATTGGAAAACAAGTGGAGTTGTTTTAATCCACCCTTTTATTGTCTGTGATGAATTATCTTAACCTGTTATTCCGAGGGATTTTCCAAAGCACATCTCTAACTTGTTACTGGCAAAATAGCTGGCTTTACAGCAGAGCGATTAACCACTTAAGTTCAATATTTGACAGTAAGCATTTTGACATTTACTAAATATAATTTAAGCCAAACATTTTACCCATTACAGCTACATGTAAAGCAACATTATTTTTTTCCAGCTTGTTTTCATCTGGTAGAGCAGTTCTCTCATAAAGTTCTTAGTTCAGTCATGATCTAGTTAGCTATGTTATTATCAATTTAAAAAGAAATGTGGATGTTGGACATATAAAGCGGTTACTGTACTCTTGTTTCAGTCCGCTCTTCATTCTTCAACTCTTGCTTATCTTGCTGCAAAACTACTGGAGCAAAGCAAATTATTTTTAAGCCAATTTAAAGTTTCTTATATGGGAAATGATGTTAAATCGAAGTATGAGAGTTCAAACAAGGAGAGAAAAAAAAGTCAACTGCAATATTACACATTTCCTTATCAGTCTGCTGACTGCTGACCTTTTGACTCAGATGAAGACACTGAACATGAACTTCTGTAAGACTGCCTGACGATTCCTGGTTTCATGGACAAGTTATATTTTCTAACAGTGTACAGGCTTATGTGGGCCGTAACAGACAACAGACGCTGTCATGTGATCTAACTCCTGCTCCCCATATAGCAGAACATATAGCAACAATTTCTTCTGACTCAAATGACAGGAAGGCTTTTTTCATATAACTCACGTGTTAGAGGCAGCTGACATGACAGTCAGGCTTTACATTGCCTCACAGCTGACAGATTGTTTGCTCAACCACTGGGAAAAAAGTAGCAGCCTTGAAACAGTCCACTTTATCTCCAACTCTCTGAGAGAGGAGCATGTGTTTACATTATCAAAACATGTGGCTCCAAACTTTAACCTTTAGTTTAAAAGATAGATTAAATGTACAGTAAACCTCTTTTCAAAAAGTTTAGATTTTCCTAGATTAAACCTCACATTTGTATTCTGTTGCCCAACGTGTTTAAATAAAGAATATAATACAGTATTATAGATCAAGGAAAGTTACTTTATGTTCTTCTCTTTCAGTATATTTACAGTACTCACAGAAAATCACCATGTTTACATTATAAGTATTGTGCGCTGCAGCAACTGATGATACGTTAAAACTCCACCCTCACTATCTGTCTATTGCGGTCGGGATTTTGTTTGTCAGGTTACTGTAACAGATGGAGTAACTTACTGCAACTGAGGAATGTTAAACATGCAGAACACTTGCTGCTCAGCCTCCCTCCTGCTGATTTATAGAGGAACATACAACTAATGTTAGCATCAAAGCTAAATCCTAATAAATGTACATGAACAGGTTGGGAAAATAACAACATTTAAGTCCTGTACGGGAACATTCAGAGGCAATACAGTGTTTTCTGTCATCTTGCTTGATCACTAGAATGATTTGGTAAACAATCTAGTTTTTATTTTAATTCTGTCATTCCCATACACCCAGAATTGAACAATACTAAAAAGCTGTTTTTTAAACTTATGTGACTAAAAAGTTATTTGAAGGTTTTGTCTTTCTCTGAATCATCCTTCACTCATATCATTTCAAAACTGTAAACACCCAAAATGGAATCATTGGCTTACCATGATACTGGGGACGTCACATCAAAACTATGCGAAGCTGACAATTACATTTGCACACCCAAACAAAAAGGCACGTACGTACAAAACAATGTCACACAAAAAGACACCAGCTCTATCAACCAAACCAAGTATTACTCTCCTTATAATCCTAACCCATAATATAAATATAGTTCTTATTTTTGAAGGAATATAATGTTATGAAATGATTGAAAACATATGAATCACCTAAGATGAAGCACAAGATCACTTATCTTCTTACATGTATTCAAACGAACACAGACAGCTGTATAGTATAAACACAAATCACCAGAGGGTAGGGCTTCCCTTTGCGTGCTTGATCCCCCACCACCACATTTAGCAAAAAAAAAAACGTGAGTGTGTGAGAGGAACAGAGGGGGCAGGGGGTTACAGCTGGGACGCTGAGCAGTGCAACTAAAGCCTGAGTAACAGGACCTGCAGATTTCATGAGCTCAGAGCAAAAAACTGAAAACTGGTTGGTGAGGGGAATCGAGTGATGACGAAGAGCAGGAAAATGTGATGGTGTGTGAGTTCAGACGGTGCTGGAAACTTTCATCAGACGATTTGTGAAACTGAGGAGGAAGGGAGGACGTCCATAAAAGATAACCACACCAACTCACTGTCACTCTTCACTCAATCGTCTGCCACTACCGGAGGTAAGTTCTCTAAAACAGGGTGATGTGCTGGTTAACAGGGTGACGAACTGTACTGAGATAGAAAATGATCTGAACCTTACTAAGAGAAGGATAGCAATCAGTAAGTTATAAGAGCATTACGCTAGTGTAATCTATTGGACTTCTATCTTAACAATACAAGCTTCTGTACACAATTTAACCTGTCTGTATTGTTGTATAAAGTACATTACTGCCAATAGGATAAGTTTGCTTGAATTTAGTGACATTCTTTGTGTTAAAAAAAAATGTGTTTTATTTTTGGATACCTTTAGACTTAACACTATGTTTCATAAAGTAGTAATCATAAACCTTTAATCAAGTTATGTGGCTTGAGTGAGATTCTCTGGCAGCACTGTGCCCCACTTTGCTAGTTCAGTTTTTTTCATGACACACAAAGTCCTGATCCTTCAGCTATGGCTCAGGGGGAAAAAAAATAAAGCAATTAATGGTGAACTGGAAATGCTTAAGCCATTACACAGTGCTGCAGAGCATTCCAGGTTGTCTAAGTTGGGAGCAGACAGAGGGTTCTGTTGGACTGGGATGTTATACTACAAACTCAAGAGGAAACATGGTTTAGCTTTCAGAGTATGTTGATGTTGTGTCTACAAGCAGTGATGCTAGAATGTGTCATGTGTCTGAAAAGTTACTTAAGTTGATTACATCCATTGTTCCTAATGTTTCCCACCTAAACATAAACTGGGGAAGGGGAATTATATAAAGATAACACATTACTCAATTGACATCTGGTGTATTCAAATTCACATCCCTGTTTTAAATGTTAACTTTGACTATTCTCTTTCACACAAGAAAAAGGGAAATGGTGATAGTGATGACAACATTGGGTGTTGCCCCATAAAACCTAATTTGAACAAATGAGAAGGAATGCTATACCAAATGTTTAGGGTTAAGGTTATTAAAAGTAACAGTAAAAGTAAGGATAATGGTAAAGTAGGAGTGTCGGTAGGGTTGGGAATAAAGAAAAACGGGTTTCAAAATAGCATATACTGCTGTTTTACTAACAATGAGAACATTTTCCCTCTCACAGCAGGGACCCATCACCCACCTCTTAAATGAAAACAGATACGAGTACGAATGTATTGAAATTGGAAACAGCTGTGACGCAACAGGATGTATTTTATAACCATATCTTTACCTTTGATGTGAAGAGCAAAGGGAAAAGAGGGAAAGACGGAAAGAAATCGTTTTTTTGCTGAGCTCATTTGAGGGGCATACTGGTCTCTTTAGAAAGTTACTTCCTTGGAAAGACACTTTCTGCACCCTAATACATCTAAACCACTGAGAAACAACTCATGCTTGCCAACCGTAAGTTGCAGAACTTTAAAAGGATTTGTATGGAGAAGCAGGTCATTACGTTGGCAGAGCTTTGCCTTTGGAGCCTCCTGTGCCATAACAAACAGAAAGCCCAGCAAGCGCCACAGCCTCTAACATGTGATGCACCAGAGACACAGAGATCCTTTAGCTCGTGGCAGAAAAACAAATCCATTTCCATATTCTATATTTGTATACTCTGCAGTTTGAGAATGTAATACTTGACAACAGTTGGCAGCACACCTTTTATTTGAGCTAGAAAAATGCTGTTTGAAACCAATTTGGTTTTAATGCCAAATGCTACTAACCATGGTGATTTACCAGCCAGTTCCATTGGCCATCTGGCGATGCTCCAAGCCACAGGCAACAAAGTACAACACTGGATCCATTGCAAATGCAAATGTCTCCTTTTTGGATTAAACAAGAATGCTGAGGCCTTCAACATGTAGGCAGGTTACTAATAAGAGTTCCTAACACCCTTCATGCAATTATAGTGATGATTGAAAGTTCGGATAACTCACATACTGGCATGAACTTGTGCTCAGCATTAGCCAAAGAAATGTAGTATTGCACATCCATAAGTTTGGGGTGCATATAAAAGACACATTGACTAGTTGCTAGTGTGGGTCAAGCTCTCATTTCCACTTAAAGCAGACAGTTACGCCCTTTCTAAATGCTGAATGCAAATGTCTTTTAAACACCACTTTCCATACCACCATTTGTAACACTGGCATTATTATAAAAAATAAAAATGAAATATATTGTATCTTTCTTGACGCCAGTCCTCCAGAGCTACAGAGGACATATTAAAATGTTTACATGCTACAGTAGGTGGAACTAATCCAAGTGACTGGTGGTTAACTGACAGAGTCAGTTAACCACATGACATGACATGTTAAAGATGTTAGTACATAACGTCCATGACATCTTCAAATATACTTTGCCATCTATGTAAAACTGATTCAAGATTCATAACCAACCTTGACTCTAACATAGCTGTTTTCTCTGTTCTAGGTAAAATAAAAATGGACCTGCCCCTGAAGCTTGAAGTGCTCCTTCTTCTCTGCTCTTTCCACACTGTTGTTTGGGCGTGTCCAAATGGATGCTTGTGTCAAGGAACCCAAATCTTCTGCAACGGGCTCTCAGGCTTCCCCACGAGTGTGCCCTCAGCAACCACAGCCACCTACCTCACCAATTGCAGTATCTACTCCCTGAAACCAGAGGACCTGACTGATTTTTCTGATGCACTTGAGATCTTTTTTATGAAAGACACAGTTTTAAGGGAAGTACGCACGGGCACCTTTGATTTATCTCCGAATGTGGGTGTCTTAGGGTTTACTACAACTGAATTACAAGATCTCCCTGAAGCCTTGTTCCAAAATATTCCGAAACTCAAGTCTCTGAATCTGAAGAGCAACAAGCTCCTGGTACTCCGCCCTAACTGGTTTTCCACGTTGGCAGAGCTACGACTCCTTGACCTCAGCAAAAACCTTTTCACTTCTGTACCTGTAGAAACTTTTCACCCTCTTGCTGAACTGCAGATCCTTCTTTTTTCTGGAAACAATATCAGTCATCTACCTAGAGAGACATTCAAGGGTCTTTCAAAGCTGAAAACCTTACGGCTTAACAAAAACTCTCTACAGGAAATACCCCTTGGAAGTTTGGATGACCTTGGAGAACTGGAGGAACTATCCCTACATGACAATCTAATCACTCATCTCCACCAGGATCTGTTCTCCAAGACTTTGAAACTCCAGAAGCTGTACCTCTCCAACAACAGGCTCAGATCTCTTCCACAAGGGATCTTCTTAAGCCTGCCCATTCTTTCCCAGATCTCCTTGTATGAAAACAAGCTGGAGAGTCTGGGGCCAGGAGTGTTTGGGCCCATGGCGCTGCAGGAGTTGTGGCTGTATGACAACAAACTGAGTCATGTGGAGGATGACACATTCAGAAACCTGACACAGTTGCGTCTCCTGGTCCTCAGTCGCAACCAGATCAGCTCTGTATCCACCAGGGCCTTCGGAGGGTTGGAGCAGCTTGGAGAGGTATCACTTCACACTAATCTGCTCACAACACTGCAAGCTGGGACTTTCCAAGATCTGCCAAGTCTGGTCAACATTTCCTTGGAGCATAACCTCATCAGCACCCTACCTGTGGGATTTCTCCAGGGCGTGAGCAACCTGGGACAGATAGACCTGCAAAATAACTCCCTTCCCAATCTGCCACAAGAGAGTCTAGATGCGCTCAGTTCAGTAAAGGAGGTTCTCTTGCAGCAGAACCCCTGGAGGTGTGACAGGGATATTCTGCCACTTAGAAACTGGCTGAAAACAGCACCCATCCAAGGCCAACCAAACGCTTGTTTTGTGTGAAGCACCTTTAAATCTGAATGGCGAGGTAATCGCTCTGCTGGAGGATGAGAACTTCCTGTCCTTCGGCTCTACAGAGGCTCCTGTGTTGACCTCAACGGAGAAGAGGAGGAAACCACAGACTCCACCAGCGAGACGAAGCACTTCCTCACCTGTAGTCAAGACCACCGCTGCCTCAGAGAGTGGCAGTGAGGAGGTCACCAGTGGTGGGCAAGGGGAGAAGGATACTGTTTCTAATGATAACTCAATCATCCTCATCGTCATCGCAGTAGTGGCCACTGTCATCATCAGCACTGTCATCATCGGCTTAGTGTGCTGGAGGAAGAACAAGAGAGGCAGGGGAAATATTGGCCGCAGAAACAAGAACTCTGTGCTGTAGATGAGACCACCCAATTTTAGCAACCCAAGAACTATTAAAGCCAAGGGAAAATGCTAACTGGTTATTGTGGCTTAGTTGGAAAATGTGGAGCCCGGAGTTGGTTTAAGCTTCAAAAGCAACAGAATTAACCACTTCATTTCAATTCAGATGTACCAGCTAAAACAAACAAGTCAACTTTTGAATTAATCAGCTTTCAATTTAAATGATTTTATTTGTAATGAATTTACCAGCCAGTTTTCCCTCATGTGTGCTGTAAAAAGACAACTGATATAGTATTGACTAATGGTGAAAACACCACATTGCCATCTTGTGGGCAACATGGACATTTCGGGGAAGGGAAGCTCAGATGCTCTGAAACAATGTATTTCTTATTGCAGACTTAATGCTGCCTTCAGTACTTTGTGAAATCAATTCCTATAGTTGCAGTTTGACAATGATTTTTTGTGCTAACAATACTTTTAGGAGACAGGTTTACTTTTTGCAAAACGGCAATCGTTAAAAAATATTTTGACTCGACTGTAACACAACTCATACTATGGTTTCACACTTACAATGCAAAATGTTACTATAAGTTGAATAAATGCACTATTTTTAGTGGGAGCAATCTTATATTGTGTTAATTATTTACTTTGCTATTTTGTATTACACTCAAGCTTAACCTCATTGAATCTGAGAACAAGTTATCTTTTATTTACACATTATTCAGGATTCAATATTTCAATACAATTGAAAAGTAGTATTACACTGACATATTCTTTCATACATTATATGAAAAATAAAATATACATTAACACATCAAAAAGTCGGAATTATGTTATTTACCCAGAAGGCAAATGTCTATTTTTTGCAGCATGTTGATTCTATGACTAAAGAGTAGTCATACACACAATTTATAATCATTGGTATGTCTGTAATGATGTTGATTAAGTTGAGTAGTAATTCAAACTCAACAAAATAAACTTCAGACTGAGCAGATTTATAAGGGGTCATGGTAAAGGGAAGGGGGCACAGAATGATATTGCACCATAAACCCTTGTTGCATTTCCAGCAATCTGTACGTTTTGTAATGTTGTGATGATGTACATGTATTACTGGTAAAACTGCAGTCAGCCATCTTATTCATGTCTCCTCATCTCTTTCTTAAATTAAGTTTACACGAAAGACCGACACACTTATTGAAAGCAGTCAGAATAATGTTTGAGTCATTTACATAAAAAACTAATATTCCATCCTTTGTTTTGCCCAAGCCGAAAAACAAATGAAACATAAATACTGTAATGTACATAATGTCTAATTGTTGCCTGACATTAACAATCAAAGGACAGAAGTTCAAACAAAACATAATAAAAAAACTGGAGATGAAGGCATGTGAAGTGAAGCTTTCCTGATGTGGGAACAGATATATTTTAGAAAATTAGAAAATGTTTATATATATATTATAGTCCATGTTTAGAGTGTGCACATGAATGATAGATACTTAGTTACTATCTATTACTATATTGTATTTTTCAATCAATAACATTAGAAAACAATTATAACCATGCTGCAGAACAGCCCTGTAACTAACTGAAGTATTTAAAACCTGGAGTCCTTGCTCTTATCTCAAGCTGCAGAAGTGTTTGGCACCACGCCTCTCATGGGATGCAACCCACTTAAGGCCTGTTGGCTAACATCGATAAAGTAGATAACTAATGAAACTGAACGTGTTTGTGTCTCCTCACTGCTGTAACAACCTATTTCAACCTGCGTCAGGAAATAATAAGGTAGGTTTTGGCATTCGATTGTAAAAAATTCTAGATTGAAAAATGTTTATGATAAACTTGATCATTAACTTTCATAGGAAAGAGAAACAATACATTTAACTACCTAAGGTATATAAGGTTAGAGTTGAATCTACAACATTTTTTACAAGGTTTTTCATTTTTTTCTTTTTATAGTGAATAAGCATGTCAAGAGGAGAAATCATCGTTCTTATTTTGTCTTTGCTGTTTGAGGCTTCACTGAAGCAACTATGTGAAAGGGAGACAGACTGTCCCAAAGACAACCAGCATGTTTTCAGTTCATCTACAACAGAAATCCCACGCTTCCTGAAACCAGGTGTCACTGAGTTTTTTTTTTTGTCAAGCCAGATTGAAACAATCCCCAAAGGAGCCTTTGTTGAAAACCCGCAGCTTGAAAAGGTGGAGTTACTGTCCACCACCACGACATCTATTGAACCGGGAGCTTTTGAAGGTTTGGTAGACCTCAAGCATATTGAGATCTCAAGCACTCCATTAACGTGGATCCCAGTGGGAGTCTTTAAAGACCTCGGCAACCTAGAGACGATTAGTCTAAAGCTTAACAAGCTCCGTAGTCTGGAAAAAGGCTTGTTTGATGGCCTTGACAAATTAACAGAGCTCCAGTTACATGGGAACGACATCGGATCGATCGAAGATGGGACATTTGATGGCCTGGAGAACCTCTTGATGCTTCATTTGGCTAAAAACAATCTCTCTGCTGTATCAACCCACTGGTTTTCAAATTTGAATAAACTGCAGATACTACGACTTTACGAGAATCAGCTGACCTCGGTTCCTGAAGACATTTTCCAGAATTTGCCAAACTTGAAGGAAATTAGCTTGCATGGAAACCAAATAGCAGAATTGTCACCTAATCTATTTCCACATAAAGACAAACTCAATAAACTGCTTCTGGAGAATAATCTTCTTACAGGTTTGCCTGAAGGATTCTTCGTTGGCTTCCCTCAGCTTAAAACGCTGACCTTACGGAAAAATAAACTGACAAGTCTACCACCTGTGCTTTTTGGAGAAATGCCTAAATTGACAGATTTGAGCCTCAGTCAAAACAGTCTTAGCACTATTCCTAAAGGAGTATTTAGCCCTCTGAAGAAACTCAAGAAGTTAGATCTGTCTAAAAATCAGTTTGTAAAGGTGTATGCTGAGTACCTTGAAGGCCCTGAGAAGCTGGTAGATCTGAATCTACAAAACAACAAGATAAAGTCGCTGGATGCAGATCTGTTTGAAAAGCTACAATCGGTGGTCACACTCAGGCTGGCTCACAATGACCTCCATACTCTTCCAGAGGATATTTTTGACCCTTTATTAAAACTGAAGAGACTTTACCTCAATGACAACCCGTGGCGATGTGACTGTAATCTGATTCCTCTTCACCTCTGGATAAAAGCAAACTCTGACAAGATTGTGTCTGCTGCTGTCTGTGAGTATCCAGAACATCTAAAAGGGCAGAATATTAAATCATTAACAGAGGATCAATTTATTTGCCCCACCCTTCCCCCCACTACCACAACATTTCCCACTACAGAACCAACAACCACAGTTACTACCACAACACCACTTCTAACAACACCTACCACCACTTTACCAACCACCACTCCCACCACTACACACCCAACTACAGAACCAACTAGCACAACACCAACAACCACCTTTCCAACCACAACTATAACAACAACCCCCGTATTAACCACAACACTAGCCACAACAATACCAACAACTACGATTCTGCAAACAACTACACCCACAACCACACCCATTATTACGACAACTCTACCTATGACGACAACAATCACACCCACAACCACCATAATGACAACCCTACCTACAACCCTTCCTACAACCACACCAACAAACACTATTATGACAACCCTTCCTACGACCACAACAACACCCACAACCACAATTATGACAACTGTATTAACCACCACAATAGCAACCACACCCACAACCACTATAACAACAACTCTACCCAAGACAACCACACCCACTATTATGACAACTATTTTGACAACTGTAGCTATGACAACAACCACTTTAACGACAACTGTACCTACTACCACGACAACAACCACACCCAGATCCACCATTACGACAACTGTACCTTCAACCACGACAACCGCAACCACTTTTCCATCCATCACCACCACCACAACAACTATGTCCACAACCGCCCTTACCACTACCCAACCTACCACCTCCCAAACAACAACGCCTTTTCCTCAAACCACTCCAGTGATCTTCACCTGTCCCATGGAGCCAATCAGTCAGGAGCCATCGCCTTCCTTCACACATCAGTACAGAAACAAAGTTCAGGGGTGCAAATCTCAGATGATGATCTACACCACACTGCTGGTGTTGGAGATCACTTGCACACTGGTGCTGGCGAGGTTTACCCTGTCCCTCTACCGACTGCTGCAGCGCAGGGAGAGTAAGAACCAGAGGGTTGAACTAACCCGGTTCTCCTACAGGAGGGAGGTCATCCTCAGGCCTCTACATAGATGAATGTAAACAACAACTGCCCCTTTAGAGAACCCTTGTATGGTGCAAAAGATGGTAAATGAGCATATTTGCAACCATATGATCTGCCAAGGCATTCTTAGGTAATACAATTAACCCTCTACTTGTTTATATAATGTTTTTTTTATGTATATAACACATTAACATCAATAAAGTATGAAATTAAAATATAATTAAAAGTAATGCCATACATTCCCAATGTTAACCTATTGATCACATGCTTTAGCAGGCTGTTTATCAATGAAACAAGGAGATGTATCATCATGAAAGTCTTTGATTGTAAAGGATTTTTGAGAAAATAACAAATGTTTTCATAAATAAAAACACGTTATATGGATAATAAAAAGTTAAGTTGTCAAAAAAAAAAGAGAAATCTTCCTGGATATCTGTTTTACTGCACTCGGGTACAAAAAACACCTTCTTACAGCAGGGGGAGACAGAGATCCATGAAATGATGTCCCATTCACCGATAACAGAAGGAGTTTAGGAAACTTGATCTCAGACAATCTATGTGTCTGCAAGTTAGATGAAATTGTAATAAATTGGAACGAAATGTATAGTTGTTTCTTTTAGAGTTAAGCAATAAAGCTTTATTTTTTGTTACAGTAGAAATGTTGATTGCTGCAAACTGTATTGCACAATGGATCTTTACAGCTAAACAAATTAATCCAAGAGGTTAACTCATTATGTGGCTGAGTGAAAGACAGTGTGCAGGCTCTGGGTGTGCGTTGGTACAGTACGGTTGTCTACCTGATAACTAAAGGTTAAATACATTAATTAGGCCTTTTATTAGATAGTAGCACAGAAAGAGAACAGTAGGGCAGATTCATTAACCTGTCTGTGTGAACATGTCTGTGTGTTTATGCACGTGTGTAAGTGGTAATAACAGAATTAAAAACTAAAAATAATTTTAAATGTCTGCTTTCTGTTTGCTCCTATAATTGGGCTAATAATTAATTAAGTATTTATGAGGTTAAGGGTCAACTTTCACTTAATTGTGTATATGTCATAAACTTCAAACTGTAAAATATCTACTTTGTATAAAAACCAAAATGTAGCTACAAGGAAAAACTTAAACCTAAGCAAAAAAGAAACTTGATAATGTTTAGATGCATAGATGTGAATGTCTTCCACTAGAGGGCATTTCTCTGGTGGATAAAACAGCACCTAAAAAACACAAAGACTATACAGAAAAATATGTAACTGTTTCACTTTAAAAAATGCTACCTGTTGTCTTTCTCCCCTTAGTAAAACCTCATATTAAATTACAAAGCCAAGTTACATCAAGTGACATAGACAGGAAAATGATATAAAATAATATTTAATCAGATGGGATCCAATCTTAGACTACTACTTCAGAGGAGCGTTCTGAGAAGGAAAAACATTTTATGAGGTTGTGCCAGAAAGTAAGGCTTGTGAATGAAGAGACTGAATGAAGCTAACAAATGCTTTATCAGATTCACCTCGAGGCTATTTGAAGAGCGCCACACACAGATTTAGAGGGATGACTCATATTACATTAGATATGGCTGATGCTGTAAGTGATAAATGATAAATAAAGGGGACAGTGTGTTACCACCTGTTATATCAAATTCTTAATCATATGTACATGTCTCCTTGACCAATCACTGATAGTACTCAATCTAACAGATGTCCGGCACTGATGAAGAACAACATGCTGCTTAACTCAACTAAAGAGTTGTGATGCTAAATATTTCATCCCGCTCTGAATTGCAGCTGAGTGTAATGCACGGTTTGCTATTGTTAAGACCTCTCCTGGGATGTGGCATCACAAAGCTATTACATTACATGTTACTTGTTAGGCGCTTTTATCCAAAGCGACTTACATACTCAATACTGTGGACAATCCCCACAGGAGCAATTTTGGGTGAAGTGTCTTGCCCAGGGACACAACGACATGCTGACTGCAGTGGGGTTTGAACCTGTGACCCGCTGATCCGAACACCTACACACAACCCACTGCACCACACGCCTATTCTTGTCTTGAAATGGAATAAGCAGTCTGATGTCTTTATTATTTATCCAGATTTGATTGACTGGTGCATTTCAGTCCACTCTACATGTTTCTGTGTCTCTGTGATTTCAGATAAAGCAGTTTCTTAGACTTTGAAATTGTCTGTAAAAGGAAAAAAAGGGGATGCTGTTAAAATCATCCAGACGATTATAATGAAGTTGTGCTTTACTGATATATTTGTTGGTCGAAAGATAGTCTAATTGAAAATGAGTACCCACTCTCAATCCTACCTTGTAATACTGGAGCAGATTTCCTCATGATACAAAAATATATTCATAATTAGAAATAAAACCTCACGATTCAGACACCAAACAACACCTGAAATCAAGGTCAGTTATATCTAACAAGCTAACATATGACCTCGCCACGATGTAATATGACTATAATGACTAGCTGGAGCTATGTATTTGCTGAGTATGGAGTTACATTAAATGCCCTGCTCTGAAGGTTATCTTGGTTTAAATGTTTCCAAAGCAATGCAACTGAGCTTCTACATGGGTTTACATTTGAGAATAAGCAGTTGCCCGTCTTTTGTCCACAGAAACATACAATGAGATAGAGGGCAAAGGATAAGATTCTTGATAAACACTGTGAAAGGTCACAGGGTTGTTGTTTAGATTAAACCTCTTTCACTGTTTCTAAAAGCCTTCCTGATGGATTTTACCTGGGTGAACCTGTAACAGTTCTACAGTTTTCAATGGGCTAAACGATCTTCTTACAGAAGCAAAAATAGCTTGTCATATCCTTTGAAACCTCTGTTTAGGGAGGGATAAACCAGCAAGTCCTGCTAATGAGCCTGAAATGGAGCTGAGGAGGTAATTGTGTGTGAAAAGGGCAATGTGCTGATGAACATAAGAGGCCATAAAATAAAGGGGAACCCATTATAGCCAAACTAAGGCATTTCAACTGGAAAATAGCTTGCAATAACCAGGTGGATTTTCAGAAGGAATCGTACATCTGATTACCTGGGGTTAATGACCAACAGAGGCCTATTATCGAGAATATGCGGAATATACGATAGAGTTATGGCCTATCTTTTAGCACTCATCTTCCCATTCTTCATAGTATATTCTTTCTTTGTGAAATGATAAGAAAACTCAGAGAACCCCTTTGGGGGAGGTTCACTTCTTTGTCCTCAGAATAAAAATCTCAAGGCAAAACTCAATAAAAGAAATCTTCAATGCGGATTGGCATTTCTTCAGAATTTCTATAAACCAGCATTTAAGCACTCAAAAGCTAAAGCCAAAACATTTCTAATAGAAAAGGAACAACTTCACAGCAACCTTTGTGATTGTTGTCAAGGAAGGTAATTCTTGGAGATTGTTAAGTGAAAAAAAGAAATGTTTGTGAATTTACCTCAAACTCTTGTTACGACTCTGTTGCTAGGAAGTCTTTCAATCCAATAAGATTCATCATCTGTGGGCATAAAGAAAATACAATAGTTACTTCAAAGCTGCAAAACCCATGAGACGTTCGTCTGCTTTGCTAACAAGACATGCTTTCTTTATTATTTTGCAATCAAAATGTTAGTTTCAGATTAATTATGCTATTATTCGTGCCTTAAGCTTTTAGGGTCAGTGTTGCTGACACACACACCGACAGACCTCTTTTCTTGGCTCAGTGGACTCAGTCCTACAGCTGCCCTCCAGCCTCCAGTAGCCTCCTTATGGTGCAACTGCAACCTGCTGAACACACACATACAAATGTCAACAGACACACAGAAAAACAATAAATTCAGGGCTGTAGTGTTATTCTTTTACGGCAAACGAGAGCAAATGGGATAAGATGAAAACATTACAAAGGTCAGGATAGTTATACTGCATGAGCCGCAAAGAATGCTTATAATTTTATCGTCCAATAAACGTTAATCCATAAAATATTTTTGATTATTACCTCACTGATGTTAAACAATATGATCCGTAGGGGGTTTCATTTGTATAAAAGGTTACTTTATGCCATATTACAACACAACTTTCAACCCTTAAATCCCCTTCCGGTGTCTTCCTTTGACCCTGTATGATTTCCTCTCCCCATGCTCACTCTCTCTCTCACTCTGTGTGTGTGTGTGTGTGTGTGTGTGTGTGTGTGTGTGTGTGTGTGTGTCTCCACTGTTGTGTGAGCTCAGCGTACTGGAAGGCCTAATCACCCGTTGCCATAGCGATGAACTTGGGTGCTGTTCAGTTATTCATACTCTTTTGTTTGCCGTTTATTTTAAAGTCCAATCACTCCTTGTGGAATTTGTGGCATCCGCTGTCATTTTGTGCAGGTTTTCAAAGCAATTTTGAACCACAGTCAAACATTTTCTTCGTCAGCTTACAAAGTGAGATTTAAAAAGGTCATCTTTAAAAACATTTGTATGAAAACTTAGTAGGCCTATAAAAATAAACCGCACGTTTTTTTTCAATCTTTTTCCTAACTTCTATGAGTACATGTGAAATTACAGGGAAAGTCATCTTAGCGGATATTTTGCTCGCTGAGTCTGTGGAGAAACAGGACTAAATCAGACCTTCCTGTTTTCTGTAATGCTTCCCAGTCTCCAAGACTTGATTCATTTGGGGAATGCACAATTTTATGAAACAATACCACACAACAGCATGTAGATATGATTTATTGGCCCAGATGTTCAGCTAACTCATATTACAGCCAGAAAATGGATCGGGTTTCAAAGAAAGACAGGAAAATATGACTATTTAATCAAATTGATTACTTAAAAGTTATATTAACAATGTTGTGATATCTCTCCATGCAGTTTGATGCTTTCACCCCTAGAGGGGAACAAATCACTTGTTGAAAAAATGTAAGACTTAACACATATTTTTTAATGTTAGTATTTATTACAGACCTTAGCATGAACAATGAATACACATGAATTGCAAAGAAAAGGCTTGACTTTCATTTAGTTCCACTAAACTAAAACAAGAAATATGGTAAAGAAAATGCTTGTGGCAACCTTCAAAAGTTATGTTTATTAATAGCTTGATTTGTTAGATCAACAATACAAAAGCCATAGCTACTGTATTTGATTTACTGTCATTTAAGACACCAAAAAGAAACACCAAACACGTTTGGACAAGCTCATAGAGAAATAACTAAAACCTACTCTTTAATTGTTTAAATAATTGCTTTTATATTATAAATTGCTTCTTTTTTTTTTGCCTGATGAATTGCTTGACCAATCTTTACAGATCTAAATAATTGTATACAATTATTAAAAAAACGAGTGGTAACATTTATAAGTTAACATCCCTTATATTAGCTTACATACTGAATTGTATATATAAAAAAACGATATCATCCAAGTCTAATTCTTCGATATGTAAAAATCCCTTCATCTTATAATTCGTCACATTATTTTGATTCCCATACTCTAAGTCAGACTATATTAAGGTTACACATGAACTTTTCAACTTAACACAGTATCAACAAAACCTATCCCCAAGAGGGTTTTTCATAGACTGCGTCCACTGCCCTCGACTGTTGTGGTGGGCATTGTGGTAGGCATTGTGGTAGGCATTGTGGTGGGCATTGTGGTAGGCATTGTGGTCGGCATTGTGGTGGGCATTGTGGTGAAGCAACAACTGGTGTTTGTGTGGTGAACAAATAACTTGACTTGAGTGTCTTAGCATCGCAAAAGTTGAATTCCTCATCCTGCAGAGAGCCAATGGTACGGAGCAGTTGGTACACAGGACTATGACATATCACATCCTGTCCGTCAAGAACAACATGCTCATGTTTTCTTATCCATTTTGCAATACCTCTAATACTACAAGTACAGTCCCAGGGGTTGCCACCCAGATTAAGAGCCTTCAAAACTGAATTTGACAAGAAAGTATCTCCTGAAAGAGTCTCGAGATGGTTATTCTTCAAATCAACTGTCAAAACCCCTCCAAGGCCCTGAAAGATGTTATCTGGTAGGCTCTTCAGCGTATTGTCATTGAGAAGCAGTATGCCAAGTGTGGTTAGTCCGGAGAACAGCTGGGGATGTAGATAAAGGAGGTCGTTGGATTTCAATGACAGCTTCTCGAGCTTCGGAAGGCAGCAGAAGAGGTCCGAAGGCAACTCCCTCAGCTTGTCGTTTAAATGGAAGTTAAGCCTCAAAAGTCCTGACATGTTTGCGAACACATTTCCAGGAACAGTGGTGAGATTAGTAGCAAACAGATAGAAGTCTGTCATATCAGGCATGTGACCCATTAGCTGGTCTGGTAAAGATAATAGCGGGTTGTTGTAAATGGTGAGCTTGGTCAGCTTTGGCATGTTGTAGAAGGTCTTTTCTGGGATAGCCTGAAGTTGGTTGGAGGAGAGGGTGAGGGTCTTAAGGTTCTTCAGTGACCAAAATACCTGAGGGGGAAGGATGGTAATCTGGTTATGGTGGATCTTTAGCTCCACAAGGTTGACAAGTTTATCAAAAATCCCAGCTTCTAGCTCCTCTAACTCGTTGTTATAGATCATGAGCTGGAGAAGATTAGTCAAGGAGTGGAAGATGGTTGGTGGAAGCTTATTTATGGAGTTCCTGCCAAGGTTCAGGAAGGTGAGTTTGGTCAGTCCATCGAAAACATTTGAAGCAGGACTGGTCAGTTTGTTCCGGCTCAGGTCCAGTTGCAGCAAAGTAACCAGTCCTTCAAACATATCCGGAGCTATGGTCTCCAACTGGTTCCCATCTAAAAACAGTTGCTCCAGTGTCGCCAACGGACTGAAGACCCGAGCAGAGATGGTAGAGAGATCGTTGGACGACAGCTTGACAGACTTGAGCTGTGGAGCAACGTGGAAGGCATTGGGATGGATAGCATGTAAGTGGCTGTATGTCAGACTGAAACGCAACAGCAGGTCCTGGTCAGCCAAGCTCTGCTCATTGATGATGTTCATGCCGGTGCCATTAAGCTGCAGCGCGTACGTGTGGACGGGCAGGTTCTGTGGTATATCTGTGATGGCGTCGCCAACACACTTGACGGCACCTTTAAAGTTACACAGGCAGCTGCCGGGGCACAGCATGTTGCAGGCGAGGTGTGGCAGTGTGAAGAGGATGAGTATGGTCCACAGGGTGCCTGCAATGTTGAAATAAAGACACATTTGCTGCATGAGATTCAATCTGAAATTAAATATGTGTCATTACCTAATGATTTTTCACTGTTTTTGCAAAAGGCCAACTCACAATTCGATCAAGTTTATAGCAAAAAATGTAATCCCTGACAAATAAATATAAAAATATTGAGGAAAAACATTTATAAGTATATGTATTTCTCTTAAAGGACAGTCAAAAGCCAGGTCAAATATTCCACCAACCTCTGAAGAGAGAATCCATTATTGCCTGTTGACAGTATGATGATGTTGCTGTGATGTGTGCTGCTCCTCTCTGCAGGGCCGTCTTATAGAGCTGAGCATCCTGTCTGTCAAGATCAAGGTCGACCCACCAAAATAACCGCCCAAAAGTCACCCATCTCAGCACACATCCTTTATACTGCCCGAACCTCAAATGAACCCTGTGCCATAGACATGGAAAATAATAACAATATTTGCTGTATAGGCCATGACCCATTTCAATAGGCTTCTATCATTGTGCCCATGTTTTACTTGACAACTCAGCGTTGAGAATTCTACAAACATTTTGGACCCATTGTAACCTTTTTGTATATTTACAATTATTCCGTTTTTTTATTTTGTTTTACTGACAGCATTTGTAAAAGCCAGTTTCGTACTGCTTCTTGACGAGGGTGAGTGTTGTTTTGACTTTGGACAGTTTGACTTTCCTTGACCTTGTGTGCTAACTTTTTGCGGGAGTTTTTATTTCTATTCTTGGGCTGCCTGGAAATGTTAAACTTTTGGCACGTATTATTATTTACTGCTAACTCATGAGTGACATAGAGGATGCTGGCTCATTTCCTGTGGACTTATCTCAACAGGATGGCCTGATCCCACTGTGCCAGCACTTCAGTTTATGGTGGAACTGAAACTGATAACACCCTTCCCTGTATCGGGTCAGTCATGGTGTTTTGATTTTGGGAATCATTGTTCTCTCACTGAGATGATGTTTTTCATTTCTTTCCTGTCAATAGAAATTTACTTTTGAAGTGCTCAAAATTCAAACAGTTTTTGTGTTATAATCCCTATACCGTAGATATATCACTGGCTCAGAGCAAAGTCAAAACCTTCTTTAACTGACTCATCTATTTCAAACCTGGAGTCTCAAGCTGCAGAAGTGTTTGACACCACGCCTCTCATGGGATGCAACCAACTCAAGGCCTGTTGGCTAACATCGATACAGTAGATAACTAATGAAACTGGACGTGTTTGTGTCTCCTCACTGCTGTAACAACCTATTTCAACCTGCGTCAGGAAATAATAAGGTAGGTTTTGGCATTCGATTGTAACAAATGTTTATGATAAACTTGATCATTAACTTTCATAGGAAAGAGAAACAATACATTTAACTACCTAAGGTATATAAGGTTAAAGTTGAATCTACAAAATGTCATAAAAAGTAAAAGGTTTTTCATTTTTTTCTTTTTATAGTGAATAAGCATGTCAAGAGGAGAAATCATCGTTCTTATTTTGTCTTTGCTGTTTGAGGCTTCACTGAACCAACTATGTGAAAGGGAGACAGACTGTCCCAAAGACAACCAGCATGTTTTCAGTTCATCTACAACAGAAATCCCACGCTTCCTGAAACCAGGTGTCACTGAGTTTTTTTTTTTGTTAAGCCAGATTGAAACAATCCCCAAAGGAGCCTTTGTTAAAAACCCGCAGCTTGAAAAGGTGGAGTTACTGTCCACCACCACGACATCTATTGAACCGGGAGCTTTTGAAGGTTTGGTAGACCTCAAGCATATTGAGATCTCAAGCACTCCATTAACGTGGATCCCAGTGGGAGTCTTTAAAGACCTCGGCAACCTAGAGAGGATTATCCTAAAGCTTAACAAGCTCCGTAGTCTGGAAAAAGGCTTGTTTAATGGCCTTGACAAATTAACAGAGCTCCAGTTACATGGGAACGACATCGGATCGATCGAAGATGGGACATTTGATGGCCTGGAGAACCTCTTGATGCTTCATTTGGCTAAAAACAATCTCTCTGCTGTATCAACCCACTGGTTTTCAAATTTGAATAAACTGCAGATACTACGACTTTACGAGAATCAGCTGACCTCGGTTCCTGAAGACATTTTCCAGAATTTGCCAAACTTGAAGGAAATTAGCTTGCATGGAAACCAAATAGCAGAATTGTCACCTAATCTATTTCCACATAAAGACAAACTCAATAAACTGCTTCTGGAGAATAATCTTCTTACAGGTTTGCCTGAAGGATTCTTCGTTGGCTTCCCTCAGCTTAAAACGCTGACCTTACGGAAAAATAAACTGACAAGTCTACCACCTGTGCTTTTTGGAGAAATGCCTAAATTGACAGATTTGAGCCTCAGTCAAAACAGTCTTAGCACTATTCCTAAAGGAGTATTTAGCCCTCTGAAGAAACTCAAGAAGTTAGATCTGTCTAAAAATCAGTTTGTAAATGTGTATGCTGAGTACTTTGAAGGCCCTGAGAAGCTGGTAGATCTGAATCTACAAAACAACAAGATAAAGGCGCTGGATGCAGATCTGTTTGAAAAGCTACAATCGGTGGTCACACTCAGGCTGGCTCACAATGACCTCCATACTCTTCCAGAGGATATTTTTGACCCTTTATTAAAACTGAAGAATCTTTACCTCAATGACAACCCGTGGCGATGTGACTGTAATCTGATTCCTCTTCACCTCTGGATAAAAGCAAACTCTGACAAGATTGTGTCTGCTGCTGTCTGTGAGTATCCAGAACATCTAAAAGGGCAGAATATTAAATCATTAACAGAGGATCAATTGATTTGCCCCACCCTTCCCCCCACTACCACAACATTTCCCACTACAGAACCAACAACCATCGTTACTACCACAACAACAATTCTAACAACACCTACCACCACTTTGCCAACCACCACTCCCACCACTACACTTCCAACTACAGAACCAACTAGCACAACACCAACAACCACCTTTCCAACCACAACTATACCAACAACCCCCGTCTTAACCACATCACTAGCCACAACAATACCAACAACTACGATTCTGCAAATAACTACACCCACAACAACTACCACAACCACTATTATGACAACAATACCCACAACTATGACAACAACCACACCCACAACCACCATAATGACAACCCTACCTACAACCACCACAACAACCACACCCACTATTACGACAACTCTACCTACAACGACCACACCCACAACCACCATAATGACGACTGTATTAACCACCACAACAGCAACCACACCCACAACCACTATAACAACAACCCTACCCAAGACAACCACAACCACTATTATGACAGCTATTTTGACAACTGTACCTACTACCAGGACAACAACCACACCCACAACCACTTTTCCACCCACCACCACCACCACCACCACCACCACAACTATGTCCAAATCTCAGATGATGATCTACACACTGCTGGTGTTGGAGATCACTTGCACACTGGTGCTGGCGAGGTTTACCCTGTCCCTCTACCGACTGCTGCAGCGCAGGGAGAGTAAGAACCAGAGGGTTGAACTAACCCAATTCTCCTAGAGGAGGGAGGTCATCCTCGGACCTCTGCATAAGGCAGCAACTGGATGAATGTAAATAACAACTGCCCCTTGAGAGAAAGCTCACTTGTTTGGTGCAAAAGATGGTAAATGAGCACATGTGCAACCATATGATCTGCCAAGGCATTCTTAGGTAATAAAATGAACCCTCTACTTGTTTATATAATGTATGTGTGTATATAACATATTAACATCAATACAATATTAAATACAAATATAACTAAAAGTTATGTCATACATTTCCAATGTTAACCTATTGATCACATGTTTTAGCAGGCTGTTTATCAATGAAACAAGGAAATGTATCATCATGAAAGTCTTTGATTGTAAAGGATTTTTGAGAGAAAAAAAATTCATAAATAAAAACATGTTATGTGGTTAATAAATAGTAAAGTTGTCAAAAGAAAAAATCTTCCTGGATATCTGTTTTACTGCACTCGGGTACAAAAAAAACACCCTCTTACAGCAGGGGGAGACAGAGATCCATGAAATGATGTCCCATTCACAGATAACAGAAGGAGTTTAGGAAACTTGATCTCAGACAATCTATGTGTCTGCAAGTTAGATGAAATTGTAATAAATTGGATGAAATGTATAGTTGTTTCTTTTAGAGTTAAGCAATAAAGCTTTATCTTTTGTTACAGTAGAAATGTTGATTGCTGCAAACTGTATTGCACAATGGATCTTTACAGCTAAACAAATTAATCCAAGAGGTTAACTCATTATGTGGCAGAGTGAAAGACAGTGTGCAGGCTCTGGGTGTGCGTTGGTACAGTACGGTTGTCTACCTGATAACTAAAGGTTAAATACATTAATTAGGCCTTTTATTAGATAGTAGCACAGAAAGAGAACAGTAGGGCAGATTCATTAACCTGTCTGTGTGAACATGTCTGTGTGTTTGTGCACGTGTGTAAGTGGTAATAACAGAATTAAAAACTAAAAATAATTTTAAATGTCTGCTTTCTGTTTGCTCTTATAATTGGGCTAATAATTAATTAAGTATTTATGAGGTTAAGGGTCAACTTTCACTTAATTGTGTATATGTCATAAACTTCAAACTGTAAAATATCTACTTTGTATAAAAACTAAAAGGTAGCTACAAGGAAAAACTTAAACCTAAGCAAAAAAGAAACTTGATAATGTTTAGAAGCATAGATGTGAATGTCTTCCACTAGAGGGCATTTCTCTGGTGGATAAAACGGCACCTAAAAAACACAAAGACTACAGAAAAATATGTAACTGTTTCACTTTAAAAAATGCCACCTGTTGTCTTTCTCCCCTTAGTAAAACCTCATATTAAATTACAAAGCCAAGTTACATCAAGTGACATAGACAAGAAGATGTGGTTCAAGTAAAACATATTCGTAAATATTGAATCAGATGGGATCCAATCTTAGACTATAACTTCAGAGGAGTGTTCTGAGAAGGAAAAACATTTTATGAGGTTGTGCCAGAAAGTAAGGCTTGTGAATGAAGAGACTGAATGAAGCTAACAAATGCTTTATCAGATTCACCTCGAGGCTATTTGAAGAGCGCCACACACAGATTTAGAGGGATGACTCATATTACATTAGATATGGCTGATGCTGTAAGTGATAAATGATAAATAAAGGGGACAGTGTGTTACCACCTGTTATATCAAATTCTTAATCATATGTACATGTCTCCTTGACCAGTAACTGATAGTACACAATCTAACAGATGTCCCGCACTGATGAAGAACAACATGCTGCTTAACTCAACTAAAGAGTTTCATCCCGCTCTGAATTGCAGCTGAGTGTAATGCACAGTTTGCTATTGTTAAGACCTCTCCTGGGATGTGGCATCACAAAGCTATTCTTGTCTTGAAATGGAATAAGCAGTCTGATGTCTTTATTATTTATCCAGATTTGAGTGACTGGTGCATTTCAGTCCACTCTACATGTTTCTGTGTCTCTGTGATTTCAGATGAAGCAGTTTCTGAGACTTTGCAATTGTCTGTAAAAGGAAAAAAAGGGATGCTGTTAAAATCATCCAGACGATTATAATGAAGTTGTGCTTTACTGATATATTTGTTGCCGAAAGATAGTCTAATTGAAAATGAGTACCCACTCTCAATCCTACCTTGTAATACTGGAGCAGATTTTCTCATCTTACAAAAATATATTCATAATTAGAAATAAAACCTCACGATTCAGACGTTCAAATGTATCTGGCACAAAACAACACCTGAAATCAAGGTCAGTTATATCTACTGTAACAAGCTAACATATGACCTCGCCACGATGTAATGTAATGTGACTATAATGACTAGCTGGAGCTATGTATTTGCTGAGTACGGAGTTAAATGCCCTGCTCTGAAGGTTATCTTGGTTTAAATGTTTCCAAAGCAATGCGACTGAGCCTCTACATGGGTTTACATTTGAGTTGCCCCTTTTTGTCCACAGAAACATACAATGAGATAGAGGGCAAAGGATAAGATTCTTGCTCATAAACACGGTGAAAGGTCACAGGGTTGTTGTTTAGATTAAACCTCTTTCACTGTTTCTAAAAGCCTTGCTGATGGATCAGTATAGGCAACATGCTGAATCTGTGCCTGTAACAGATCCTTTCTATTATAAGACCTGCTCAATTCAGCTAATTTTAACTTCTCATTTTATATTTCTTTGGTTTTACAGTTCTACAGTTTTCAATGGGCTAAACGATCTTCTTACAGAAGCAAAAATAGCTTGTCATATCCTTTGAAACCTCTGTTTAGGGAGGGATAAACCAGCAAGTCCTGCTAATGAGCCTGAAATGGAGCTGAGGAGGTAATTGTGTGTGAAAAGGGCAATGTGCTGATGAACATAAGAGGCCATAAAATAAAGGGGAACCCATTATAGCCAAACTAAGGCATTTCAACTGGAAAATAGCTTGCAGTAACCAGGAGGATTTTCAGAAGGAATCGTACATCTGATTACCTGGGGTTAATGACCAACAGAGGCCTATTATCGAGAATATGCGGAATATACGATAGAGTTATGGCCTATCTTTTAGCACTCATCTTCCCATTCTTCATAGTATATTCTTTCTTTGTGAAATGATAAGAAAACTCAGAGAACCCCTTTGGGGGAGGTTCACTTCTTTGTCCTCAGAATAAAAATCTCAAGGCAAAACTCAAAAGAAATCTTCAATGCGGATTGGCATTTCTTCAGAATTTCTATAACCAGCATTTAAGCACTCAAAAACATTTCTGATAGAAAAGGAACAACTTCCTTTGTGATTGTTGTCAAGGAAAGTAATTCTTGGAAATTGTTAAAGGAGAAGTGTCATGCTTTTCCGGTTATTACCCGTCCCCTTGTGTGTTATGAAGGTTTTTATGCATGTAAACGGTGTGCAAACGGTGTGCAACAGAGTCAAAACCCTCAAAGTACACCCTATAGCGAGTAAAACTCTAACACAGAAAATACCTCCCCAAAATGCCTCGTTGGAGATACGTCATTGTCCATTTGATTCTTCCGGGTACGGCATGATGTCAAGCCGTACCCGGAACGAAATGGACCAATCCGTGGAGCCGTTACGTTACGTCCGCGGAGCCGTTACGTTAAGCCCCCGCTGATTGGTCCAAATTGACCAATCCACGGACTTCCTCACACACACATCTGTGTGCAGGGAGCAGGCAGCTCAGCTGATTTCTCCTCCCTGGCTGCAGGCTGATAACAGACAGTTGGGATCGCGGCGAAATTCTCTCTGCAGACCCATTCTCACAGCGTTTATCAACCTTTTTCTTACTCAATATCAAGCCACACTTATTGTTTTTACTTCGGATGTGAGTTTGTGTGTGCTCAGGATGAATTTGGCTGTGTTTCGCTATGTATCCTAAACAAGGAAACAACACCTCCACGGAGCTCAGCGCGATTCACAACGTCCCGACCAATCAGAGCACACTGTGCTCACAGGGAGGGTGGGGGCTGGAGCTATTGGAGCTACAACGAGCCGTTAAAGGCAGAGAGTGAAATTCAGTGAATACACGTAGTTTACAGAGATGCTGTATGAGAAACCAATGTGAGTTTGGAAAATTGCACAATATAAATCTATTCTAGTAGACCTCAACAATGGAATTATGATCAGTGGAAATGGCCATGACACCTCTCCTTTAAGTGAAAAAAGGTGTTTGTGAATTTCCCTCAAACTTTTGTTACGACTCTGTTGCTAGGAAGTCTTTGAATCCAATAATATTCACATAGAGATTCATCATCTGTGGGCATAAAGAAAATACAATAGTTACTTCAAAGCTGCAAAACCCATGAGATGTTCGTCTGCTTTGCTAACAAGACATGTTTTCTTTATTAATTCAATCAAAACATTTGTTTTCAGTTTAATTATGCTATTATTCGAGCCTTAAGCTTTTAGGGACAGTGTTGCTGACACACACACCGACAAACCTCTTTTCTTGGCTCAGTGGACTCAGTCCTACAGCTGCCCTCCAGCCTCCAGTAGCCTCCTTATGGTGCAACTGCAACCTGCTGAACACACACATACAAATGTCAACAGACACACAGAAAAACAATCAATTCAGGGTTGTAGAGTTGTGGTTTTTTACGGCAAACGAGAGCAAATGGGATAAGATGAAAACATAACAAAGGTCAGGATAGTTATATGAGCCCCAAAGAATGTTTATAATTTTATCGTCCAATATTAATATTAATCGTTAATATTACCTCACTGATGTTAAACAATATGATCCGTAGGGGGTTTCATTTGTATAAAAGGTTTACTTTATGCCATATTACAACACAACTAACTACATAAGTGAGGACCTGTATATCATTACGGAGCAGCTTGTTCATCCTTGTAATGTCTGGAGGCAAAGTCTTCACTAGTGTAGAGGAACCAGTGCACATATGCAGCAGCAGCCTTCACAGTCAGACAGCGCTGAGGGCAGTCCTGGCCTCTGGCGCTGGAAAACACAGCCGCCTTGGAGCTAGGGTCGCTTGCATCGCCCACCACCCCCAAGCCAACCTCCCACTCGAGGAGTCTCCATCAGTGCCAGCTGAGTCCAATCTCTGCCTGCCAGCTGCCCCCCCCCAGGCTGCAGCACCATGGAGCTGCGGTCAGCATGACACCCCCTCACCCGGCGCTAAAAATGGAATCTGTCATGTACTGGAACTTGCCACAAAGCATACCAAATATTTGTTATGTTATTTATGTCCCTGAACATTTTTTCTTTGGACAATCTTTAAAAGTGGTATAGTCTCTCAGTGATTATGGTGTTGTTATGCCCAGCTTGTTCAGGAGCAAAACAAAGTAGGGTGGTGCACACAGCAACAGTTAAAGAAAACAATTACATCCATTCAGTCATAACTGTGTAAAGTCAGCAGTTTGTGGTCTAGTGCAGGTGTTGGGTGCTATGAAACCCTAACCTAAAGTTCCAGTAATATTAAGAAAAACAAAACTGAATTAAACCAAACAAAACCGAGTTAAGGCCCAGGAAGGCACCAGCTGGCAAGCCTTCCAGGAGAGTGAGTGCCATCTTGGATCCAGCGAGTTTACAGGCTCCTGGCAGGTGCGTCAGCCATTATATTTAGAGGCAGAGTGCATAGACTGATAGGGCTTTAATAAGTGAACATCACACAACTGCAATCTCTACCTTCACTCTGGTGTGTATAATAAATATTCCCTCTCTGATACACGGCTTTTAACAATGTATGGCCTGCTGAAACTTGCCTTAAACTCTGACCTGCTATAAGCAATAAGGCCAGAAGTCATTCCTTTGGCTCTAATAGACAGGTTTCAGTTTTGTGAAGCTTCTTAATTTGTTTCTATGTATAGCTGAGCAGTTTGTAAGCAATGGCACAAAAAAAATAGTATCAACTTAAAAAATATATAGAAAACCATCCACAGTGTGGTTATACAGTGAGAGAATATCAAATAATGGAA